CATCAGGAAGAGGATAATGGTGTTATTCAACAAACTACCCTAACCAACCCTTCATTGTAGATGGTAAGGTTTTCGTGAGGGAACCACAGTAAGACAAACAGGTATCGTCCGGGAGGACAGCATCTAACATAAATGAACAGGATTACGGCAGATCTGGGTCTACAGATGCTCTGCTACATCTGCAACACTGTAACAGCAATGTTCGAGCAAAAGAGTGTAAAAAATTAAGATTAAAGCGTACGTTAAAAACCAAAGCCATTCTTTAATTATTATAACCGACAACAGCCTTTGTTCATGCTTAACATATGCACTAAATATATAAAATTACTATTTGGCGATAAACAGAGTTTGAACAGAAGACGAAAAGTTTATACAGCGACATGTGTTGCTTCAGTCCCTGCCAACAGGGGTAGCAATGACTTTTACCTTGTGGGAGGTTTGTAAAATAGACCCTGAATTGTCAACTACGGTTAATCATTGCATCATTCGATAGAAGATATGCAGCGATGTGTGAGACAAAAGATAACATTTTCAGTCATTATCGCACGAGAAATATTAGAAAAAATTTATAAATGTTGGAATGCACATAATAATGATAATGATAAATTAATTGATTTGGTAAGGCCACACTGAAGCCGGTTTTTGAATCACGAGGCCCAGATAGACATGTTGAACGACGACAATATCGCCCTTTAAAATTTAGCTGACGGAGTATCGACGCTACTCGATAAATTTTCTGAAACTGCTGTTCCCGTGACCCAAAAAGAATGACCACCTGTAAAACTGAATGGGTGGATCCGCAGAAATGTGCTGAACTTTCGAAACAAGCGGCACTTTTGCCCTCTTCCTTTAACACAGGGAGAAACCATAATACCTTTTTATGCCATCAGTCAAATGTGCCTTATGCTTAAAAGGCGATATCTAAAGACAAACAGCTGATCAAACCATAGAAATCTGCAGGAAGCATTGCGCAAAGAAAAAACTTATACGTACATTGGACACTCTGATGCCACCAAAGTTCTTTTTCTCCTTCATGTTTGGCCAGTACTTGAAGCATTTGGGCTAAAATATACAGGGGACATAAAAACATCTTTATCGCAAAATCAATATACTTTGCTGTCTTCGAGCAGCTCGCACAACATGACAACAGTGATGACATCACACTGAATGACCATTCGCCAGAAGTCTTCAGCCGTGCATTCCAAAGGACCCTGTGTGGCGATGTAGGCGACTTTGCCAAAGCATCCCTTAAAAAGTAAATATCCGTAATAAATGCAAAGCTAGCAAGTGTCTTTGAGCCACGCCAAACACTTACGTTCACGTAACTGGCGTTGATATAATCTGATACACCGGGAGATAGAGAAGTTAATTTGACTCGATTGAAATCATCTATAAAAAATAGCAAATAGTTATAAAAATCATTTCTACATGTAAATGAAGAATAGCAATTCTGGCGAATATTAACGTAAACTGGTATGATCCATATTTTGATACATTCGGCACATTATTTAATTAAACTATTCACTCGTGTTATTACCAAACTCATTTATCACAATCTGCGTAATTGTATCATGACGTCATAGTTGTGCTTAAAAATGTTCAAATTTCTCAGACACGGGTTGTTGCTCTTAATTTTAAAACCATGTTTTAAATCATATAGGTCATGAATATAATCGCTGCCTCGTAATGGATAAATAGATATCGTCATTCATTTGTTTGTACATTTTTCAGTATTGAAAATAATTACTGACTGGTGAGAATGACAAAACAAATTTGATCGCCTTTGTACTCACGTAATACCGGTCCAAGTCAGTTGACAGATGATCTAGTTTAGTGCGGTGTATTTAAAATATGTGACTGATCTTTTTTGTCAAA